TTCATTCGTCATAAGTGAACGGGGCTCATTAATAAAGATAGTCATCAACCAAATGCGCTTTAGCCACCATCGATTTTTAAACTTCTTCTCCAACTCCACTTTCTTCTTTTTATTTTTCAAAAATAAAGCAGAACGTAGAAAATTTCTTCAATAATAATAAAAATTTATTTCTCATCATAAATTTTTAAACCTGTAAATTCCTCTAAATCCATCTACAAAACCTTACCTACTTTACTTTTACTGAGCGTGCACTCTTGTCATAATCCAAGCGAACCGTAAAATTAAAAGATTACGACTTGAAAATATTCTATTTTTTGCTGACTGAAGATTTTTTTATTTTTTTTTTCTCGTCTCCCGCTTTAATTTTTCTTTTTATTTGAGAGAGCAAGAAGAAATTTGTCAATTAAAGTTGAAATGAGGAAAGGAATTGCTTGAAAGAATTTCTTATTGTTCTTTTGGGGATTTGGGAAGTGAAAGTATTTGAAAGTTGAGGTTGTGGGGGTATGAAACTCATGTTAAGGGCATCAAAGCATTAAAAAGGATTGAAATTGTTATAAAGACCCAATGTCATACTAGTTTGGTGTCGCTACTTTGTCCAGTCTACCCAACAGGGGCGTAGCCAGGAATTTGAAGAGGGGGGGGGGGCAATTTTTTTTTGTATGGAAAACTTTTAGAGGGGGGGGGGGGTCAAGTTTTTCATAAAAACTCTAGCAAAATGAAGAAATTTCTCAAGACGAAGGGGGATTTGTCCCCCAAATCCCCCCCACCTGGCTACATGCCTGCTACCCAAATAGCACCAGTCGGGTAATCGAATATAAATCCTGCGCCAAGCCAGTGTGACTCTGAAATGGTGTTGACTTCGATTTAAATCTAGCACTATGCCAGAGTCAAACCAGCTTGGTTCCAGTTTTCTGATCGATTAACCGACTTGTGCCATTTGGACTCGAGCTTTGCATCAAAATCAAACCGAACCAATAGTGTTCTGAGATTTTCACGTCCTCCCAACTGTTGAATATCATTTTAGGATGAACCAGAAGCATCGAGTGTTCAAAATTCAATCAACCACTAAAAAAATGACCTCAAAAGTCAAAAAAATTAAAAATGCTCATCAAAAATATTCAAAAAAATTTCTAATCCACTCAACGTCATTTCACCCACTTAGCAATAGCAAAAAAAAAGTATTTCAACAATTTTTGCTTCGTCAACTATCATAAATTACGCTTTAAGGAGCATGAAATAGCTGAGTTAATTTGATCAAATAAGACGAAGAAAATCACGAGTAAGAATAAAAAGTAAATGACGGAATTTTAAGTTTTATAGAGTCATCGAGTTTGCTGCTTGATGAGAAGAATAAATTTCTTGTCACATTTTGAGGAAGAAAATTTACAAAATTTATGAAGTTTAACTTTGAATGCTTTAGAATTTTATAGTTAAGAGAGTAAGTAATTGGCAAAACGTGTGGAGAATCTCGAGCACTAATTAAAGTGAAAAGGAGGCTGATTTCATGGTAATAAGGTAGTTTTGTTGTTAAAATGGGTTGTCTGCATGTGATGAGAATGAGGGGATCTTCACGGTACAATAGATTCTATCATTGATCAGGATCGCAGTGCCTTCAGCTCGCCGCAACGTGTTGTAACACACCGCTTGGCTAGAACCCTCTCACATTATTGAGGGGAATTGATTTGACTAGTAAAACTTTACAAATGTTTCTAAAACCAAGTTGATTGATGCAACAATAAACTTTGAGAGTCTACAGCCTAAAGGACGAACAGACAGCGTGACTATTGTTTTATATTTGAGACTTGTTTATTATGGAAATGGATTGCATGCCTAAAGATTGACACAAAATCCACTTTAAACTTATAAAATCACTTAAATGTCACTCATCTTCACCACATCTAAAGCATACAAAGAATCCCACGAATTTATGAATTTATTCTCAGAACAAAATCCTCACTGACATTCAAAAAACCCTCTCATATTCTAAATCCTTCAAGTTATCCACATATTTCAACACCCACAAATGTTAACCATATCCATGAAGCAGCATGAAGCTTTAATTAAAAATCCACCTTCGATAAAAATTCTGAAGCACCTTGTTTCTAGCTTAACAGAATAAAAAGCTTTTGTTCATCCACCCACAATGCAAAAAGTTTCAAAAGAATTTGCAATCAAACGTATTACCTGCCCAAAATGCTAATGATGACGTTTCGATTATGTCTTGTGAAAAATAATCAGCTTTCAGCGTTTGAACAGTGTCTTATCCTACACCTACACAAGATTCTTTTTTGGGGATGATGATGAAAAAATGAGAACTTTTGTTGAATGGATAATTGAATTTATTATTTTTTGGAAGAAAATTAGGATTTATGAAAGGGAATTTTTGATTCTAGATTAGGAATTGGTTTCTTGGGCAAGCTGAGGCCAAGGGTGTGGTACTGATGAAATGATCAAAATTGATCAAAAATGATCAAAATTCAATTCTTCAGTTCCACACTCTTGGCTGGGACACACTCCTCTGGTTTTAGATCTATCTAACTTGGGAGAACTTGTTTGATTTCTAAGCTATACAACTGCGCACTTTTGAGCGAGACAGTCCCCCCCCCCCCCACCCTTAAAATGTCTCGCTCATTTAAAGTTTAAATCGGAACATTTCTCGTCTTTGACAAAAATAAGCAAAAACTGATGGACAACCTAATCATAATACGAGTTGGACTCACAAAAATCAATAACTTTAATCCTTAAAATAAAAACAAATCCAAGAACCAAAAGGAAAGGAAGCAAAACAACAAGAAACCAAAAATAAAAACTTCAATAAGATCATTCGACAATGAAAACAAGTGAAAAAGATAATTGAAAAGTTTTGTAATGCGAAAATCTAATTCTCAAAAAAAAAAAACGAGAGAATCAGAAAAAAAAATTGCGGAAGATTTTTAATTGAATTTTATTCTCTCGACAACAAAAAAATTGAATCTGAGAGACACAAGCAAAAGGAGGAAAAACTGAACGACAGAGAATGAAAAAGTTTTTCATTTTCTTTGTTTCAATTTTAATTAGTTTATGATGTTTTGAACCACACAAGAATATAAAGATGAAAATGGAAAAAAGGAAGTGTTGTTGTTACTTTGGATGTTTCACTTGTTATGGCTGTGGAAAATTTTCTAATTTCCTACAAAACACAAAAAAAAGCAGACATTTTCCGATGAGAAAAAGATGTGTCAATTAGTGTAAATTGCTGTTGATTGGGAGTTACATGCTGTTTGATAATTGAGTTAAATTTGTTATTCGGGACTAATTTGGATGAATTTTAATCAATAAGAGCTGCTTTTAATGTTTGATATTGATTGAAGAATACGACTAAGTTTAATGATCTTTAAGGAATAATTCGGAATGTAAGTAAATTCTAGAAAGCTATGGTCTTGACTGGTAAATCGGTAAAATGTCAAATAGAAGTCTAGGAAGAGGCCCAAAGCCATGGAAGTTTAGCAGGGTCTTTTCTATTCCAAAGATTGAAATTACATGGGAACATAATTGAACACTTCCAAATAATTTATGGCTTTACCCTTCCATGTAGGGTACAATCATTGATAAAAGAGTCAAACCTGACCTTAAACTTAAGCAGTTAAGTACCTTGCTGGTCGAAAAGGTAAGGCGCTTGACTTAAATTTGATAAAATAACTCGAAAGTTGTCGGTTCGAATCCAGCAATTTCCAAATTTGTTCTTTTTCAGAAGTCTAGATACTTCGATTGCTTAATCTACGAGATCAAGCCATAATTGGGCATTTCGGCAACGTTTGATTAAGGAACGGATCAGGAACTTTAACTGGAGGAAAGTTTCAAGATTACCTTATAATGGAATATTTTCAGAACGGACCTGGAATGTATCATGTCGACAAATAAATAATAATAATTATTAACACAAACCTGCAGCTTTTTAATCTACTATCTTGATATTAAGTTCAAATTTTTCCATCCATAAAATTATATTGTCAATCTGCACAATGAACAACCACAGAGAGAAACTTCGCAGTTTTCTGTCTAAAAATAAACTATTTAAACATAACAGCATGAAAAATATTTTCCGTTAAAATAACAATTTAATCCTTTCAGTAACTCATTACAGTCGCTGGAATCAAAAGTTTTCTTCCCACACTTTCTACTCATTTTACGGAACTAAAATCACTAAGTTTAAAATCATTAAAAATATTTTTCAATTGGAATAAATAACAATAATGCAAAATAAATAATCTTTCCGCACTAAAACTTTCATGAAGACAGGAAAGACCACAAACGAGAAGCTTGTTTCATCGAAAATAATAAGCACACGAGAGGAGAGAAGAGGAGGAAGAAATTTTTAAGGAACTTTCAAATCAAATTTTTAAAATTCTTCAATAAAGTTTCAATTTGACCCCCCAATTCCATCCCTAATGCATCCCAGCATTCAGCAAGTGGTGGCATAAAAAATGTCTGAATTAAAAAGTTTACAAGAGCGAAGAACGGAAATGTAAAAGTTGGAAAACTTTTTTGTTGCTTATTGCCGCACAAGAGCTGCTCATTTAAAGCTTTTAAGTTCTGAAAATTTGTGATAAAACTCAGGGTTTATTTAAAAATGACGTACATTCCAAAAAGGAGGGGTGTTTCCAGAGATTATTTGTTTGAGGAGTTTAGCTGTTCAAAGAAGGCCTTTTTTTGGTTCAATATATAATCAGCCTAAAACAGTGATGTCCAAACTTTTTTGAGCCACGGTACACCTTAGGGGTAAGTCATTACCAAAGTAGCACACAGCATTGCGTCATTTACAAAAAATTTCAATGACAACACTGGTCTAAAAGGAGGGGTTCGAATCGCCATTGAATCTCACTAGCTAACCTAATAATTATTCCGGAAGTCATTAGACACTCATCCTTATAAATAATGACATCATATACCAACGACCCCCTAAGATGAATGCCTGCCAGTGCTGCTTTTATTTATGGAAATAATAGAAAAGTTCTCAAAGCCTATTTCCCATCATTAAACTCACATTGCTCTACCGACATCTCATCATATGCACTTTTGTTATCATGCTTTTAATCAGGAATCATGATTAAATATCATTTAAAGTATGAATAAAGTTTATAACACAGTTTATTGTGTGCGGGATGTAAAGTCGTGCTGAAATATGTAGGTTAAGAGATTTTAAGCTTCTTTTTGTGTTTTACGCATTATTTAAATGATATTCATAATTATGAGGATTAACAAACTACGCATTACTAATTATTTATGTTTATTTCAGCACAATAATCTCCAAAACCATCAATCAGGGTTGCAACGCAGGCACCTGTGCACATGTGAGAACCGTATAATTCCTTGATAATTTGTGAGGTTTTATTAGAATTTGCATGGTTTTTATTAGAAAAACCTTTTAAATCACCAAGGAATTGTACGGTTCCCAACTGTGCACAGGTGCCTGTATCGCAACCCTGCAATCAACTTCTTAAAAATTCAACTCCTTCGCCATCTCCCTCAACTTAATTTTACTGATTTTCCCCGAGAAAGTCAATGGAAACGACTCGACAATATGAACTCCACCACGAATCTTTTTCGGATCACTAACCTTCCCATTAACTTGCTCGAGAATCACATTTTCAGCCAAATTGCTTGATTCATCAACAATTACAAAAGCATGAATGATGTCGTTGCCTTCATTTGCATCATAAACACCAACAACGCTGCTATTCACAATTCCTTTAATTTCATTAATGACTGCTTCAATTTCTGATGGTGTGACTTGATAATTATTGTATTTTAAGAGTTCCTTCTTTCTGTCAACGATGTAGAGATAGCCATCATCATCAAAGTACCCAATGTCACCAGTTTTGAACCAGTCGCCTTCGAATGCTTCTTGTGTCTTTTCTGGCTCATCAAAATATCCAGAAAATTGAATTGAAAGTCTGGAACAAATTTCGCCTTTTTCGTTTGGTCCGAGGTTTTTAAAATCGTCGTCAACAACCTGCAAATGTCAATTATGAGTATCGCAAAATTAAAAACAATTAAAAGACACTACCATCAATTCTGTATTGTCAACTGGAAGTCCACAACTTCCATATTTCAAAACATTTTTGTTGATTGTCAAATAATTTTCTTCTGAACATCCATAAGCATTACAGACAATGCCATTTGGAATAAACTTCTGAATATTATTTTGAATATCCTTCGATGCAGCTGATCCAGCAATAACAAGCTCTGTTATACTGTCAAGTCGCTTCAAATTTTGGATTTGCAAGATTTTCGAGACAGCATAAGGAGCAATCATGAGTGAATTAACTTTATAGTCTTGAATTATGTCCACAACAGATTGAGGTTCTATAGGTTTTATTGATATTATTCTGACACACTTATACAGCGCACCAACAATAATAAAGTAAATCCCACTAAACCAGAATATGTAGGAACTTTGAAGGACAACAAATGGCTTGTCAGTATTTTGATTGAAATATGGAAAGAAGTATTGAATGACATGCTTATGTGACTTACAGACTCCTTTTTGAAAACCTGTTGAGCCTGAAGAACAAATTATTAAAATTATTGAGTTTGGGTCTGTTGATGGAAACCTAAAATCATAAAAAAAAAATTGTTATCACGTGCCGAGTGATGCTGTGGCTTAATTTTTCTATGTATGTGTTATTCTTGATAACTCACACAAAATCATCAACACTATCGCTGTCCATTTTCTTCAAAATCTCAGTCGCACACTCAAAACCTTCAACTTTATCCATGACAGTCAATATTTTTGCGCCACTTTTCATCTCATCCACAGCATTTTGCACAACTTTCACATTTTAGTGAAAGTATATACGATATTAACATATTTATTTATCTATGATATACTTTTATACTTTCTATAAATTTCACTAGATGTCACTTTAGTATATCCAAATTATGCTTTAGATTTGAATTATGTCATGTCGTTAATGAATTTGATAATCATTATGTATTTCATAATTTATTGTAATGTATAACTTAAGAATGACGTTATGCTAAAGTTGAATATACTTTCATTCAAGGGCGTAATAATTGCAGTGCCGTGTGCAATTTGGTGTGCACATTCCTTTGTAAGGCCTTGAAGCAATTAGTATAAAAGAAGATAGCATAGCATGAATAAATTAGTCTATTTTTTATTATCAATAGATCCAGAACTTCTTGTTTTAAATATTTATCAACTTCACCATTTGCAGTTGTGCAACATTGGTCCTTCGGGCAAAACTTTGAAAAAATTGAGTTTTTAATAAGCACTTAGAAATATTTTGCGGTCACACAGATAGTGTTGTGATGAGAAAAAGTTTATTCGGTGAATAAATCTTGAGCAAGTTTGTAAACCATTAAAGTCGTTTCTGGCCAGAACGCATCAGGTGAGTGAAGTGAATTTTTCAAAAGGATTAATTCATTTATTGTACTATAATTAATTTTAACAAGTGTGTGGTTAAATTAATATTATAGTTTTTGAGATCTTGTTGAGATTTTGTGAGAGAAATTAGTGGATTTTTTTCTTTTTGTGTGACATTAATTTAAAAATAATTAATTGTTCGGCATTTAGTGCATTTGCAAATTTAATTTTAATACAAAAGGTATAAAGGAAATTAGAATTTCGCAATATTACAAGTTTCTATCGGTAATTGGGAAATTGTGTGGAATAAAATTAATTATTTTATTCTTGGTTCTATCAAGTGTACAAAAGTTACCAAGGATTAGAACATTTTTTTAAAAATAAATCTTGTACAAGTTGAAAATCACACATTTGTGTGTCTAATTTTGAGGGTACCTAAGTTGCGAGCAAAATTAGTGAGCAAGGTCAATTAAAGCATTGTCTTTCTCTGGGCTTTACATATTAGTGTAGGTGACACATAATTGTAGAGACGTTTTTTTTATTGTATTTTCTTTTCTCTATACATTTGGGAAAGAGAAAAAAAATTGCTTTTGTTCTCACCGTGAGAGAGTTTTTTTTGTGTGCATAAGGTGCATTAGAATTATTTCATTTACCCAGTAAGAAATTTTTTTAAAAAAATTCCTGTCTCAACAAGAGGTTCGAGCGGGATGGGTGACAAAAATGAAGATAATAAGATTGACGAAGAAACGTATAAAAAGTATGGAGAATTGCGTGATAAACAGCAAGGTTTTCAGTTACTGGTTTCGGGTTTGTTTACAAGAGTTCAAAGTTTTTCTAAAAATACTCGTACTGAAGCAGAGGAAGTTTTAGGAAAACTTGTGACTGCTTGGCCAGAAGTCAAATCTTTACATGCTCAACTAAAAGAATTAAATAAAGAGGGTGTTCTTAATAATTTGAGTTATTTTAAAGAAAGTCGTTTTGACATAGTGAAGTCAATGGTTGATGTTTCAAAAAAGCGCATTTTTAAGTTGTTTCCTGATGAGCAGGATTTTCTTAATTTGTCTTCTTCATCTCAAGACTTTGAAGATGATTTTGAAGCGGGATCTGATATAGATGATTCAGCTGATAGTGAGCGCATGCAATCCATGCAAAAAGAGCTTAGTGAGCTTAAGAAAGCTGTCACTAGGGGAAGCTCTAGCAATAAACGAGAGGAACTATTGCTCCGTTATTTGCAGCATGTTGATGCTGACAATAATTTTCCTGAATTTCCAGCACTTGAGTCAGAGTATCGAGTCTGGCGTAAAAAAGTTAGGACTTGGGAGGCTAGGTCTCCAAATATTCCTTCAGAAATCAAGATTGATTTTCTGTTGAAAGCAATTAATAAGAATTCAAACGCTCGTTCTATCGTGAAATGTTTTGATAGTAGTGTAGGTTCGAATTATGATCAAATGCTTAAAGCTTTGGATGAGCAATTTTTTACAGCTCGTCAAACGGTTTATAATCATTTTATGGGACTTGTTAATCCAAATATTAAGGCTACCAAGGGTAGTGAATACCTTCAAGAGGTTTTTAATAAGTTTTCCTTTGAATGGAAAAATTTTGAGTCATTTACATCTGAGCTGATGAGCGAAGATCAACATGACAATGAGCTTGAACAGCTAAAGTTTCAAATTAATGTCATTAAGAATGCATTGTTGTTTAATTTGTTGGATGAAGGCACTAAAAATAAAGTTGTGCTTCATTTAAAAATCACTCCTGATAAAATTCCAGATTTTGAAGATGTTTTGGAATATGTCAAGATTATGTTTCTCAATGTGCGTGGCACTAGGGAGCTTGTATTACCTGCGGGAAGTAAGGTTAGGGAACCTACAAATGCTTCAAATTGCAAGAAGATTGATATTCGCAATAAAAAAGCAATTTCCTGTATAATATGTCCAGAGGGGCATAAGACAGTTAAGTGTCCAAAATTTTTGGCAATGACGCCTCAACAGCGTCAAAATGCAATCAAGAAAAAAGGTCAGTGCTTTGTTTGCCTGTATAGAAAGTATAGGGATTGTAATTGTGCGACAAAGGATGATTGTAGAAAATGTAAAGAATGTGGATCTAAGCACCATATTTTATTGCATATGATAAATGAAAACTCAGAAACATCCTCGAATAAGAAAGTTCAGGTTGAGCAAAAGGGAGTTTATTTTAACCCAGAAACATTTGACTGGGCTGAAGAAGCAATTAATGCTCCAGAGTTTAGTGTAGGAACTAAAAAGATAGATGCATCTCATGCGGTTGCAGTTTTGCCTACTGCTGTAGTAAAATGTACTTCAGAAGATGGGATGAAATCAGTTGAAGCTAGGGTTCTTTTTGATACGGGAGCGGATCAACCGTTGATTACTTATGAGTTTGCAAAGCGTTTGGGACTTAAGTTGAAGCCAACGTTTATTAAAACATATGATTATCAGGGAAAAGAAACAATGCCAGTTCGTCATGAAACTAATGTTACAATGAATTCACTGCATGAGAAATATTCTCTTAATATAACTGCTTATTTGAGAAAATCTTTGGGAGGTGTAAAGCCAATTCCAGAAAAGCTTAGGCAAATAGTTAAAGCTCCTCTAGCTGATACCTCAAACAAGTTGACAGGAGGGAGAATTGACATTATCATGCCAGTTAAATATGTGGCTAAAATCAGAAAAGATGGTATGATTCGCATATCTGAAGATTTAATTTTGGAAAATACTAGATTTGGATATATGGCTTTAGGTTGTCTAGAAAATTCAGTAAATGTTCGTAGTTTGCATACTAGGATGGTTTCTGTGGGAGATCCAGAATTCAGAGCCATAGGAAGATTTTTCGATCAAGATACTTCTGAGCCTTGCGGTGATGAAGAGCTCGCGGAGCAAATGTTTATGAAATACTTTTCTCGACTCAGAAATGGAAAAATGGTAGTAGGGATGCCATTATTAGAAGATCAGGGTTTAGGAGAAAGTAAAAGAGTGTGTATTTTTAGAACACACAGAGTAATGAATCAATTATCTCCAGAAATGAGAGTTGAGTACATACGTCAATTTGAGGATCTTATGGTCAAAGGTTATATCAGACCAACTGATACATCGGTACCAGGAAAATATTATGTGTCTCATTTACCAGTTATTAATAAAGATTCTCTTACACATCCTTTGAGAATAGTTTTTGACTCCTCACAGAAGACGAGTAATGGAAGAAGCTTAAATGACATACAGCTTAAAGGAAAGAAGCTGCAAAATTCATTACAACTGGTGCTGATCGGCAGTAGAATTTTCGAGGGCATGAATTCAACGGATTTGTCAAAGATGTATTTGTCTATGGATATGATTGATAAGCATATTCCATATCAAAGAACATTTATGCCAACCAAGGATGGGAAGTTAATGGAGGTAGAGATGCCAACAATAATTTTTGGGAATACGTCTAGTCCATTTTTAGCCATTCGAGCAATGCAGGAACTAGCAAGTCTTGAAAATAGAAGATTTCCATTAGCGGCAGACATCATTCGAGATGCTATGTATGTAGATGATGTCTGGTATAGTTTACCAGTGGGTGAACTTATGAAAGAAGCTTCAAGACAGCTGCAAGGAATTGCTGAGAGCGCTCAGTTGAAATTCAGAAAATGGGCGTCAAATGTTCCAGAAGCTATCGAGATGATTCCTGAAGAGGACAAATTGATCGCGATTGAGAAGGAAATTCGTGATGATGAAGTGTCAGGAAAGGCAGGAATTTTAGGACTTTCTTGGTTGATAGATTCGGATGAGTTATCTATTAAAATGAATAAATTTCGACAGCTTAAAGATGGTGAACCATTGACATTGAGGTTTGCACTGTCCCAAATTGCAACTGTTTATGATGCAATTGGGTTGTTGAGTCCATTATTTTTGACTGGAAGATTAATAATCAAAGAGATTTACAAAAAATTGCTCGACAACAAGCCGTTGAAAAAAAGAGACAAAAGATTAGACATTTCACTTTCAGAGGAATTGAGAAAGTTATGGTGTGTCTGGAGTGAAGATTTATGTGCCATCAATGAATTGAAGACTCCAAGATGGATTAGGCATGTTCCAGGCAACAGACTGTCTATTATAGCTTTTGCTGATGCATCATTGGATGGTACGGGATCAACAATTTACTCTCACTCAGAAGGAGAGGGTGAAATACATGTCAATTTACTAATGGCTAAGTCCAATATAAAGCCAAGTGGGGGAAATTGGACAATTCCAAAATTGGAACTGAAAGCTATGGAGAAAACTGTTGAGTTAGCCATGGATGTAAAGAATGCAGTTCAAAAAACGCTCAAACGAGGTAATTGCGATCAAG